ACCCTCCACAAAACCATTTCCAGTTTCACCCCCAGACTGGGGCAATGGGAAGTGCCTGGGATGTGTGGGAACAGCCCCAACCTACTCGGGAAGGGATAATGCACAGGACACCCAGAGGCAGATGGAGCTGCTGGGAAAGGGGCTCCTGTTTTGATTGCTCTCCCAGAAAAGCCCCCTGGAGAAGGGAAGGGGTCTCTTCCCAGGAAGCAGCTGCTCCAGGCTCGTTCCAGCTCCTCAGCTTTGCTTTATTATTCAGTGATTTTGTCTACACAGAACTTGGACTCTTCCTGCTCCAGGAGAATTAAGTTTCCCAAAGAGGCATTAAGAGAACCTTCCAATTCCCTGGGAAAAGCCTCAGGCAGGGAATGGTGTTTCCACCTCCCTTCCACCCCTTTCCCAGCCTCCCAACCAGCAGATCCTGCCCTGGAGGGCGATCCCTGGTTCCACTCAGGGCTGGGAACCAGGTGGCTGCTCCGCCAGGAATTCCTCCTTGGATCCAGAAGGAACAGACGCTCCCTGGTGACCTCTGTGCCTTGGCGTTTCACACGGGGCAGGAACCCTTCAGGCTGCCCCTTGCAGGGTCATTCTTCTGTGGACGCTGGGAAGAACCTCTGGAGGCAGGGTCAGGGATCCCTGTTCCTGAAGCTCCTCCCAGGGGAGCAGCAGCACGTGGAGGGAACGACCCATCCTGGCCCATAAGTTCCTTGTTGCACAGCCCTGGCTGGAGCTCCGGATGCAGCAGGGCAGGGCTCCCGGCAGCATCCCTGGCACGGGAAGGAAGGTCTGTGCTGGAAACCAGGACAACAAACCTTGTCTGGATGGAAGCTGGGTTTCTGCAGGAGCATCCCGGGCTGTTCTGCATCCCCAGCACAGGAGGTGGCCCCGGGGCAGTGACAGGACAGGGGGCAGCAGGGACACTGGAGCACGGGAGGGAAAACTTGTGCAGTGAGGGTGGCAGAGCCCGGGCCAGGCTGCCCAGGGAGGGGCTGGAGGCTCCATCCCTGCAGGCATTCCCAGCCCACCTGGATGTGTTCCTGTGGGATCTGCTCTAGGGGATCCTGCTCTGGCAGGGATTGGACTGGGTGGTCTCCAGAGGTCCCTGCCAACCCCACCACTCTGGGGCTCTGTAGGAAGTGACATTTCTGCCCGTGTGTGCCCCGAGTTCTGCGTGGGAGGGTGGGGGTGGTGGGAGGGTCCCACCCCCAGGCCAGGGCCCCCCTGCTCACAGGCACAAGGACACGGACACCAAAGGTGCCACCAAATCACAGGATCAACATCTGCCTCTTCCCTCAGTCCTCCTGCCCCTGCCCGTGGGACCTCCCAGCCTGTCCCATCTGTCTCCACCTAAACCTCCCAACAAGGTGATTCTTTGCATTTCAGGGCATAACCCCCCGACCCAAGCGATGGTTGGATGCTCCTCAGCCCTCTGCTGCCAAGTGGGAGCTCCCTACACCAGCTCTTCCCTCCAGGATTTACTTCTAGCAGCTCCTGAAGGACCACAGACCAGCTCCTGCCGTGCTATTCCAGGTCTTCTCCAAGTGTTTCCCAGCAGGAAGGATCTGGCAGGGACAGGGTTTGCTCCACCAGGAATCTCCTCTCTCCCAGAAATCCTGGCCAGGAGCACACAGGGTGCTGTGACCATGGAGGCATCAAGCTGTGTGGGAGAGGAACAGAAGACTTGTCCTGGGGAATCCTGAGAGGGGGATCATGAGAAGCCAGGGATGAAGGAGTTTTTGGGACTCCTGGGATGAGCAGGGACCCCTCGGGGCCAAGTGTGTTCTCCTGGTGCCCTCCAGAACTTTTCACTCCACCCCAGCAGCAGCTGTTCCTTGCTCTGCTGCTCCTCAGGGGAAGCAGAGAGGACATGGACATCAGTCCTGGGCAAAGCAGGTGCCTGAGCTGGAGGTGACCTGACTTCTGCACTCCGTGCAGCCTTGTGGAATAAGCAAAGGTCATAGAACCCCTGGAACGGTTTGGGTGGGAAGGAACATTAAAGCCCATCCAGTCCCACCCCTGCATGGGAAGGGACACCTCCCAGCAGCCCAGGCTGCTCCAAGCCCCATCCAACCTGCCCTTCAACACCCCCAGGGATGGGGCAGCCACAGCTTCCCTGGGCAACCTGGGCCAGGCTCTCACCACCCCACCAGTCTAAACTGGGGAAGCTGCTCAGGAGCCTCCCCCAGGGCTGCAGGCACAGCAGGGAGAGCAGCTGAGGTGGGAGGTTTCACACTGAGACGAGAGCAAGGGCAGGATCATGGAATAATGGAAGGACTTTGGTTGGAAAAGAACTTCAAGATCACAGAGTCCAACCCTTCCCCCAGCCCTGCCCAGGCCACCCCTGCCCCATGTTCCTCAGCACCATCTCCAGGGCTTGGAAACCCCTCCAGGGATGGGGACTCCCCCCCTGCCCTGGGCAGCCTGGGCCAGGCCCTGACAACCCTTGGCAGGCAGGAATTGTTCCCCAGATCCAACCTCCACCTCCCCTGGCACAACTTGAGGCCGGTTCCTCTTGTCCCATCCCTTGTTCCTGGGGAGCAGAGCCCGACCCCCCTGGCTCCAACCTCCTCTCAGGCAGCTGCAGAGCCAGCAGGTCTCCCCTCAGCCTCCTTTGCTCCAGGCTGGACACCCCCAGCTCCCTCA